GATTGGCCTACTTCTGTAGGATGCACGTGTAAATCAAGAAGGTGTTACCTCTGTAATAAACTTAAGCCAGGAGCTTAGGTGACTCATCTGAGAATACTCTGTAAGTCAGAAAACTTCAAAGCCCATCCTCAGTATTTATTGCTCTGTGGCTACCACTTTGCGTAGGAACCACGTCGGGAATCACATTGGCTGTTCGTCACTCTTTCTCTGAAGACCACAGCTTCAAAATAAAGCCCTTAGAAAATGTAGGCATTGAATCAACAGTTGCAATTTAAGTCTTCATTTGGTCATTGACAAGAGCCTTCAGTTTTCAAGTCAAAACAGTATAACTTGGAAATTTGGACCTGAAGATGTTGATTTTGTTGTTTATAAGAAATGCTTTCAAGATTTTGCTTTCTGTAACTGTGATAACAATCTGTGTGTGTGTGTGTGTGTGTGTGTGTGTGTGTGTGTTTGTCTCTGAAAAAGTTTAGTAGATGAAAACTAAGGAAGGAATACTACTCATACTACAGAATTGTAATTCAACCACACTGCGGTTGCTCTTTCATCTGGTAAGAAGTAGAAAGTAGTATAAGGAATAAGTTCATTTTTCTTAGATTTATGGCTATTACTTGGTACTAAAAATTCAAGCCAAACATCACTTATCATCAGAACTTGCTAATTATGTTTTCTCTTGATTTTCTTTGTCATTAGAATAATCTTTAGAATAGTGATAACATTATCTAAACTTAATGAGGATTTAAACTTTAAAGTTTAAATCACATGAGGGGAAAAAATATGCTCTTCCAGGAGATTTATCTGCTTTTTTTAAAAACTTGTTTTTCCTTTATTCATGATAGAGCACGTACACATGCATATGAGAGACAGAGAGAGAGAAGAAAAGGATCACTCTCCACAGGTTCTGGTCACATGAGGATTCTCTTCCTCCAGTCCTGTCTTCCTCCAGCCTATTGGATCCTGGGCACTGGAACATATGCCCAGTGAGTTTCAGGCTGACCAGGCTGGGAATTCAAACCATAGTTGCCGTATGGGAATCTGGCTTCTCTTGAGCAGTGCATCAAGTCAGCCAGCCCACTTTCTCTTTTGTAATCTAACTACAGTAGTGGCTATTGAATGCAAGCAATTTGGAGCTAGACAGTTGCAGCCTGCTTTCTAGGCACCTGCCTGCCTTGTGTCTAGACAGATTCCTAGAACTGCTTACTGTTCCTCCATCCTGGCAGGTGATTCTGCTTTCCAGAGATATCCATGACTCCCCACATGGGCTTTCCGCTGTTGAACTATTGTACTGTGTACCGTGTCTTTGTATAACCATGCCCTGCTCCAGTATCTCCTCGAGCTCCCGACCACTACAGTTATTACTGAATTCATCTTAAGTGTCATATCCTGCACTGAGTGTTTCACGTATTGAATCCTTCATGGGGAAGACCTACTCTGAAATGAAGTTAGCACAGTACACCTTCTTAGCTTTGCTTCTCTTTTGTACCTTCTGAATTGCCAGACCGTGATGAATGGCTACAACCATGATTTGTTTGACTGAGCTAATATTTTTATACCTTGCTAACATATAGCTCTTTAGACCTTTATAACAAGCTGTGTTAATCACATCTTAGTGATTGCTTTTGCTCACTGAAAAGATTCCTTGAATCCTAGAAGAGCAGTTTTCCTTTTATCTCTGATAAAGTAGAAGAATCCAAGTGAATTTCAAGAATTCTTGAGCCTCACCTAAAATATGCCTAAGCTATTACTGTTTTGTAGGAACACTATTCAGTTGCATCAGTGAAGCAATAGGAGTTATTTTAGAATATATGCTGTTTGGGGTAAACATAGCCTATTTGTGTTTGCTACTCCACCTTGAATCTACCAGACCAAGGGAGCTTAGGCCTTAGAACCAGTAGCTGTAAATCCCTCTTCCATCCTCACTTGATACACCACTGCCTTGTTATGAATTTGCAACACCCTCACTCTAGATCTTATTTTAAGACAAATTGCATAGAAGGTTTCCCTGTCTCCAGGAGGAATTGTGCACATACTAGTAATGGTGAGAAAGAGACAGAGTAGATCATGTACTTTGAGCAACAGTGAAAATCTGCAGAACAACCCTTCATGAATCAGATTTCAATGAATGGATATCTGTATAGAAAATATCCTAATGACGAAAGTAAAAGCATAAGAAACTGAAGCCAAATCAAAGAATTTCAGTATCAGCAAAACTTTACAATATCCTGGTTATTTTACTTTCCTAATTAACCTAATGTAAAAATCTAAACATTTTATTTCAAGCCACATAGTTGGAAATCTTGTTTTAGGCCTCAATAAATATAGTTAATATAAGCACAGCGAGCTATTAGCCATATTTTTCTCCTCCTCCTCTTCCTTCCCTTTTTTTTTTTTTTTTTCCTCCTTAGAACTCATGTGCTCCCCAAAGAAAGATAAAGTGCCCCTCCCCGCTACGTGGGGACTGTCATGCTGTAATCCCTTCTCCTTTTCCTTCTTTTCTCCTTTTGGGATTTTGAGAATGCACACACACATTCCCAGTGTGATTTTCAAGCCTTCAGGTTTGGGATTCAAACTGTGCTGTCAGCCATGTAGGATCCAACTGTCTTAATCATCATGGAACTAACTGGTGGTTATGGTTATTATTTGAGGGTTTTTTTGTGTGTGTGTGAAATAAAATTTATATGTAATAAAACATACAAATATTATAGTATGTTGACTTCTTTTTTTAAGGGTTTTGCCATAGGGCATGTGCACTTCCTGTGGAGAGACAGAGACGGTGATGGGAAAAGTGAGAAATCACTCCCGGGGAGTGATGGCCACACGGCAATCTCTTCTTATCCATTCTCCTCCTAGGATCTTGAACACGCATGCACACATGCCTGGCATGATCTTCAAGCCCCCAGGTCCAGGCTCTAACTGCATTCAGCCATTTGGAAAGTCCAGCACATTAATTACTAGGCCACCTGCTGGCCCCTGGATGTTAACTGTTTTTAGTAACTTAATTAAGATAGAATCTATGGGCCAGCAGATGGCACAGCAGATACATCATTGGATTCCCACATGGTCAACCACAGTTCAAGTCCTGGACCTGGTGGCTTGAAACTCACACCAGTCATGTGTGTGTATATGCCCAAGATCCCAGGAGGAACATGGAGAAGGGATTGTGGCATGGCCATCCCCCCTAGGGGTGATTTCTCACTTTCCCTCTCACTGTCTCTATCTCTCTCTCTCTCTTTGGCAAGCACACGTACCCTAAGGCAAAACCTCCTTTTAAAAAAGAGGGACCAGTAGATGGTGTAAGGATTATGTCACTGTATTCCCACATAATCTACCACAGTTCAAGTCCCAGACCCAGCAGCTTAAACTCCCACTAGGTGTGTGTGCCTAAAATCCTGAGAGGAGAAGAGATTATGGAGTGTGACCATCTCCCAGAGATGGTTTTCTCACTTTCTGTCTCTCTAGCAAGTGCATGTGCCCTATAGCAAAAAATCTCTCTTTAAAAATAAATATAAGATTGACATAATAACTTGCACATATTTAAACTGTACAATTTGGTAACTTTTTTTTTTTTGGAGAGGTTATTTTTGTTTGTTTTGTTTTGTTTCGTTTTGTTTTACTATAGGGCATGTGCACTCGCCAGAAAGACAGAGAGACACAGAGACAGAAAGCAAGAAATCAGCCCCCAGTGGGGATGGCCACACCACAATCCCTTCTCCTCCATTCTCCTCTCAGGATCTTGGGCACGCACACACATGCACCCGACATGAGTTTAAGCCACCTGGTCCAGGACTCGAACCGCAGTCTACTACATAGAAGACCAGCGACATAGCCATTACGCTAACTGCTGGTCCCAAATTTGGTAACTTTTGACATATATATTGGGTTATCTGGAAAGCCATGATTTTTGCATAGAAAAATAGAAAAATGCATTATGACTTTTCCAACAACTTAGTATATGTAAACACCCATGGAGCTGTCACCACAACCAATACATTGAACATATCCATCATTCTGCAAAGTTCCCTCATTGGATTCTCGTCATCACATCATCTACAGCCTCCACCTCTATCCCATCTCCAGGAAATCAGTGACTTGCTTTCTGTTACTCCACGGTAATTTGCATTTTCTAGAGTTACATATAGTTATACAGCATTATGACCTTTTTTGTCAGATTTCTTCACTCAGCACACTTATTTTGTGATTCAGCCATATAATTCCATGTGTCAATAGCCTTTTTTGTTGTTGTTGTTGCTGAATAACTATTCCATTATATAGATACACCTCAATTTATTAATCCATTAAACTTTGTGACTCCCTGGCCATCTTGGTGGCTACTCTTGGTTGGGGGCCATCTTGCACCTAAGGCAAGAAGATGGTGACCCGAAAGAAGATGAAAATGTCACTGGAATCAGTCAACTTGTTATAAAAAGTGGGAAATACGTGCTGGGGTACAAGCAGACTCTGAAAATGATCTGACAAGGCAAAGCAAAGTTGATCATCCTCACCAACAACTGCCCAACTTTGAGGAAATCCAAAATAGAGTACTGTGCCATGTTGGCTAAAACTGGTGTCCATCACTACAGTGGAAATAATACTGAATTGAGCACAGCATGTGGAAAGTACTACAGCACATGCACACTGGCTGTCATTGATCCAGGTGATTCTGATATCAGTAGAAGCATGCTGGAACAGACCAGTGGAAAGTAAACTGTCCAACATTTTTCTTCAATAAAACTTGGTAGAGATTGCCAGAGCAGAAAAGATGGAAATTTGGGTTGTTTCCAGACTTGAGCTATTACAAATAAAGCTACTACAAATAATTGTATACAAGCTTTGTATGTATGTATTTCAGTTTTTCTTTCTTTAAAAGAATTATTTTATTTAACTTTATTTGTTTATTTATTTATTTATTTATTTTAATTTGACCAAAGAGGGACAAAACAAGAGTGAGAGAGAGAGAGAAAGTGAGAAAGCAAGCCACCAGGTCTGGTACTTGAACTGCAGTCGGCCATGTGGGAGTCCAGCAACCTTAACCACCATGCCATCTGCTGACCCTCTTCAGTTTTTCTTGGGTAAACACCTAGGAATAGAATGTTTCTGTTAAGAGATAAATCAAGCTTTTTCTAAAGTGGTACCATTTTATATTCCTTCCAGCTGTGTATGAGTTCCAATTCTTCAACAGCCTCATGTCAGTGTTTTAAATTTTAGCCATCATATTAGCTGGGCAATAAATATCAAATATTTGATTTGCATATATTTTCTCTTAGTCTGTGACTTGCCTTTCATTCTCTTAACAGTGTCTTTCAAAAACCAGAAGTTATTTATTTGAAGTCTTATTTATCAATTTTATCTTTCATGAATATGCTTTTAGTGTCCTATCTTAAGAAATGTTTGCCTAGCCCAAAGTCATAAAGTTTTTTTGCTGTTTATTCCAAAAATTTTGTAGCTATAGGATATATATTTAGGCCTATGGTTCCTTTGAGTTAATTGCACTAAGTATGATCAATCTTTTGAAGTTTTAAAAAGGCTTTTCCTTTTTTCTTTTTTCTTTTTTTTTTTTGAGAGGTTTTTGCTATAGGGCACATGCGCTTGCCAGAAAGACAGAGAGAGACAGACAGAAAGCGAGAAATCACCCCCTAGGGGGGATGGCCACACCACAATCCCTTCTACTCCCTTCTCCTCTCAGGATCCTGGGTACGCACACACATGTGCCCGGTGTGAGTTTAAGCCACCAGGTCCAGGACTCGAACCGTGGTCAGCTACATGGGAGTTCAGCAACACAGCCATTATGCTAGCTGCTGGTCTCAAGGGCTTTTCCTTTTCTAAGTAGAGAAACACTTCAGCTTTATCTGCTTTTCAAATTTTGTTACTCTTTATAAAATCTATTTTCTGACTTTCCAAAATATTTTTATATCATTGATCTAGTGTTATCTTTTGTCTCATTCTCTTTTTTCTTGCTGTTCTTATGTTTTTGCCATTTTTTTCTTTTGCTGTCATTTCAGTGGAATTGAGAAGGCAAAATTATATTCAGTCAGCTGTATTTAAGAAAATATTCCCTTAAAATTATTTTTGAAGAAAAATAAGTTTTCTATCATTTCACTACCTTACTTAACTCATTTTCCTTCCAGACTTCGTGTACTTGCAAGCGTAATCATAGCACATTTGTGTTGTTTTCTGAAATGTAGCATAAGCACTTTATTCATAAACACGTCTTCATGTTAAGCACTTTAATGGCAGCATAATAGCCAACTTTGTTAATAATGTACCATAATTTGCCTAACCTTTCCTCTCTGTAGTTGGACATTAAAATTGCTAACTTTGGAGCAATTTAGCCAGTGAAGAGACTACCTAATAAATATTTTTGTCAAGCTTAAGGACCATTTGCAAATATATATAGTGAGAGCTATGACTCACCAAATTCCTCCTTTCCTCTGTCAGGACTCACATATGTCTTTCTTCTGTTGCTCCTTCACACTTCAGAGTAAAGAGGTATAAAACCTTGAGAGAGGGAACCAGCAGTTAGCGTAATGGCTATGTCACTGGACTCCCACGTAGTCGACCATGGTTCGCGTCCCAGACCCGGTGGCTTAAAACTCACGCCGGGCGCGTGTGCGTGCGTGCCCAAGATCCTGAGAGAAGAACGGAGGAGAAGGGATTGCGGCGTGACCATCCCCCCTGGGGGGTGATTTCTCGCTTTCCATCTCTCTGTCTCTATCTGGCGAGCGTACGCACCCTATAGCGAAAATCTCTCAAAAAAAAAAACAAAACTGGTGAGTGAAGGGACAGAATCAAGCATGTATCTTACTTTCTAATACAGACTATCTATGTGAGTCACCAAACAGCTGATGAGGCTTAGTTTCTCTTTATAGAAGTACCTCAGTGAATGAGTGAGGATGTACTGCTGTAATGAAGATATCATTATTTTACTACCCATGGTGATTAATTAATCTAGGCATTAATCATCAACATCTTTTAGCACCATAAAAGGAGAGATAACCAGATGTTCCCCTTTCAGTACTGTCTGGGAGTATTTTTGCCAAGCAACCCTGCCTCTGATAAAGCCTCTGGATCCAACTACCCATGTGGATGTAGAAGACAAAGTACTATGTCGAATGACACCACTGGGATACAGTCAAGTGGTTATGATTGGTCAGATGGAAACACTATAGGACAACAGGCCAATTCCTTCAACAAGTAAATTGCAAGTGGGAAAAGACTCTACAGAATAAAACTGATGTCAATGATCCACTAGTTACTGTTGATATATAGACCTTATTTGGGTCCTACCTGAGTTTAACTGATGAGAAGAATAACAAAAAAAAAATCTTTTTTACATCCATAAGACAGTTATAAAATGGAACACTAACCAGATATTTGATACTAAAAATTACTTTTTTTTTTTTTTTAATAATTCCACAAAAGGGCTGACAGATGGTGTGGTGGTAAAGGGGCCGAACTTCCACATGGTTGACCACGTTTAGAGTCCTGGACCTGGCAGCTTGCTTTCTCACTTTCCCTTCCTCTCTCTCTTTAACTTTCTCTGATTATATATTTTAAAAAATTAAAATTATATTAGTAATTTAAAGAAAATAATTCTGTAAAAATCTGCATGATATAAATTCTTATTTATAACCCCAAAATACTTATTGGTGCAGATAACAATGGGAATTATTATATTTTTTAGAGCCCCTCTCAAGTATTCCCAGCCCCTTGTACATGGTACTGAAACCTTTAATGAAAAGTTGACGGTTGACACGTATGATAATGTTCATGCATCATTGTGTATAATAGCAAAACACTGGAAACAACACAGCTGTCTGTTAACAGAAACTATTCCTACAGTGGATTCCTTATGGGAAATCTTGCACTGGATTGAAATATTGGACCCTAAGCCAACTGCCAGGGTTTGTATATCAGCTCTAACTTGCCACTTTCAGGCAGTGTTCTCTCGGGCAAGTTACTTAACTTCTCTGTGCCTCCATCTTCTCATTTTTAAAGAGTGGAAATAATAATACATATTATAGTGGGTTGTATGATTCCTGTGAGGATTGAGTTGATATTCATAGTGAGAACTCTGTACAGGTTGGTTATAATTATTTTTATTACCTAATAGGTTTAGTAACATAATGTGTAAAAAACCAAGTTGCAGACTGGAACACCATATTGCACTATTTGTTTAAAGTTTTAAAACCTGTATTAAAATGGGTTGGGAGATTAGGGCAGATTTGGATCATATCATATATTAAGAATACCCAACCTAGGCCAGCAGGTGGCATGGCGGTTAAGGCACTGGACTCCCACATGGTCAATCACAGTTCACATCTTAGACCCGGTGGCTTGAAAATCACACACCACATGTGTGTGCATGCCTAAAATCCCAATAGGAGAATGGAGGCGAGGGATTGCAGCATGGCCATCCCCCTGGGAGGAGTGATTTCTTCTCTCTCTCTCTCTCTCTCTCTCTCTCTCTCTCTCTGGTGAATGCACACACTCTATGGCAAAAACTTTGAAAAAAAAAATCCAAGAAAAGGATAACAAACACATTTGATTTCTACTCATTTCTGGACCACAAAGCAAAGAAACTGATTTATCCTCTGAGCTCTTTATACTTATTTACTAAGCAACTTGCAACAGAAAATCATTAGGATAAATGGTTAAAAAAACAGACTATAATCTTCTCATTCCAACTACTGACATTTACAGAACGTGACACATCAGATGAATATTGGGCAGTGCTCATGAGTGAATATGGTTCTCATGCAGAATCATGTACCTACATCTTCTGAGCAGCCCAAAAGAGGTTTAGACCACTCTTAATTTGAGGACCCTTGCTGTTCGGTCTCTGAGTATCAGGCTGTTGAACAGGAAAAACTGTATAGTACATGCCCCAGTCACCTCCATTTAACTACATGGATCATTTGCTATTCTGTTACTCTCACTGACTGATGAAAACCATATACTAAATACTCCTTGCTTGTAGGCCATGCTCTTTCTGTCCCTGCTCAATTGTATGTTTACAAGCGCCAGTTGTGTTTTTTGTTTTTAAGATATGCTCTCACTATAATTCAATTCTCCTGCCTGACCTCCAGAGTAGCTGGGACTACAGGTGTGTACCACTCTACCAGCTTTCCCAGACAGGATCTCGCTATGTTTTCCAAGAAAACCTTAAGTTTGAGATCCTTTTGCCTCAGCCCCTCCAGTCTCTGGGATTATAGGTGCACACCACTGCACCTTGCCTATAGATGAGACTACAAATTGAACCTGGGCCTCCCAAGTGGTCCCAGTCCCTGGGACACAGTGACTGAGCAGCACACAGCACAGCAGCTGTGCCAGGGCAGTTGTGTTTTGTCGCAATCAATTATACATTTTAGTTAGATAGTACATAAATAGACAAAGTGAGTTGTATACATTAAAAGCATCATTAAAAGGACAAAATAACACCTGCAGTATAATCCTATGTGTTTTTTTTTTAATTTTTAAAAACATATATTTATTTTATTTGCTGTAGGGCATGTGTGCTCACAGGGGGGGCGGGGGGGGGGGGAAAGAGGGAAAGTGAGAAAGCAAGCCACCAGGTCTGGGACCCAAACCACAGTTGGCCTTGTGGGAGTCCAACACATTAACCACCATGCCACCTGGTGGCCCCATCTATATATATTCTTTAAGTTTCTTTTTCACCTTACTTTTTTTTAATTGCCAGATGGCATGTGCACTCACTGGAAAGAGAGAGAGAACCCTCCCCCCTCAGTGGGACATGGTCACATCACAGTCCCTTTCCTCTATTTTTCATCCCATCAGGAATTGGGGCATACATACACCCACATTCCTGGCTTGTTTTTTAAGCCACTTGGGGCCAGGATTCAAATCACAGTTGACCATGAGAGATCTAGCTCCCTATGCACTGTGCTTAATCACTACTCTATGGAGCTAGCCCAGGAGTTTATTTTCTTCTTCCATGAGCAAGCTAAAGCAACAGAGAGAAACAGCAACAACACTCCTCACAGGGTTTTTACACCACACTCTACTCCCTGCTTCAGCAGGTTCTGGATCGTGGGCATACAGGAGTCCAGTGTGTTTAGGGTGGCCTCTAGACTTGAACCCAGAACCTTCCCATGGGGATCAGCCTCAGAGAGCATTGAATTACGCTGTGCTGCTGTCCAGCCCCCTATAATCCTATATTTTCTTTATGGGTAATATATACAAGTAGGAAAACATAAATGGGAATGATAAGTACCTAATTCAAGATCATTGTCACCTGTAGGATAGGAGAGAAATAGGATCGAGAGAGGTACTCAGTGGCTTCAATCAAATCTGGTTGAAGTTTTGTGTGTCTTTTGTAAGAAAGAAAAAAAGGAGCTGGTCCTAAAGCTGGTAGTTAAGGGAGATGGATCCTACAGAGCTACCATGAAGTCCAAATCCTGACCCTGGCAACTTGAAAAACACCAGGCACATATGTGGGCATGCTCAGAATCCTAACAAGAGAGAGAGAGATGGAGGAGAGGGGATTGCCAGGTGCCCATGTCCCATTGGGGACTGCTTTCTTCCTCTCTGTGGCAAATGCATGCACCCTATGGCATAAAAGAAAGAAGGAAGGAAGGAGGGAGGAGGGAAGAACTAGAGAAAGAGAAGGGGGGAGGGGAGGGGAGGAGCAAATGTGTGTAATATTTGATTCAGATTTGGTAAATCCAGGTTTTGGATTACACATTTTTCCTATTCCTATCTTCTTTTTGTTTGTCTTCCAAGACAAAGCATTTCCAAAATTCATCGGAAAGTATTCTAAAATTAATTCTTAAAGTGACTTAGTATCTGGACTTGATCCAGCCGGAGAAGAATTGCAAAATGATTTGCTAGCACTATCCCTGAACCATGCAATGAAGTACACTTGTATTCCAGGGATCGGAACTGGATAGGAAAACCCAGCAATCTGGGTAATGAATCTCTGAAATCTGTATGATTCTTTAAGACCATTACAGGTTTATGAATGAATCCCGCCAGCTAGCTTTCTTTCTTGAAATCTGGTTTCTCTCTTAGCTCCTTAATTAGAGCCTTGGGCCTGGAGAGCAAACATGTCTAGCCAGACAGGCCTTAGACAGGCCCCTCATACTGACAGCTTAACCTTTTCCTTGACCATCTCCTCCCTCAGAAGATTTACGTCCATTTATTTGGATTTGAATCTTGCCTTTTGGTTTGTGAGCCCCTTGAGTTTATTGTCCATATCCTGTCCCATGCTGGTTTTCCTTTGAAGCTTTGTGGAAAATGAGGGGCATTGCCTAATCGGGTACCATCAGGGCTGTTTTTTCTAGATAAGGAAGGATGTCAACACATTCTTAAACATCTCAAAATTGCATGACAAAATATCATTTGTTTCTTTAGGACAGAATTATAAGAATTATTATGAAATGTAAGTATGTTTTGCCAGAATTAAAGGGAGGGATGTTGTTTGACAACAGCGTTCTCTACCACCACGCTACCCTCATACCTTCAGTATTAATCAAGTCTCATCTTCCCACAAAATAAAAGCTGATATACAGGCAAGTTTGGGAAATCATGTTGGGAAAGTTTCTCCTCAAACCAAAGAAATGATTAGGATTTAGTTTTATTCACAGGTGCCTATTGTCTCTGTTTACTGAAACTACTACTGTCCCAAGTTATACTGAATCTAAAACCCTAAAAAGTCTCATTACATCTTTTCTATGTAATTATATTACAATTTTATTTTTGTTTCTACAGAAACAATATAGGGTCATAGAAAAGCCTGTCTCTGTTCCCATCTGTTTTAATCTGTTTTTCTGTTGCCAACAACTGAATAATACAGACCAGGTAATGTATAAAGAATTGAGGTTTTTTAGCTCACAGTTTTGGATACCTAAGGTCAAGGAACCACATCTCGTTGGGGTCTTCTTGTTGGTGTGGACCCTATGCAGACCTGCAAGGTAGCAAGGGTATCAGATGGCAAAGAGGGCAGCAGCAAGCACATCTGTGTCCATGTCTCTCTGTTCTTAACCACTGCCCGCTTTCAGTCCTGGAGGCTCCACCCTGATGACCTTATCTAATCCTAAACATCTCCCAGAGACTCCACCTCTTACTACCATGGTCAAATTAAGTTTTCACTCCTTTGTACCCTCATAATAGCAACCAATTTCAACACATGAATTTGGGGGGGGGGGGATACATTCAAACCACAGTCCTAGCTCATCTTCTCCCTATCTCATTATGTGATCTTAGACGAATTTCTTTCTTTATAGGATCTCTTAAATGTACATGATGGCACCTACTGTTCACCTTTGCTCACTTTCTAGTCAGCCAATCCAGACTGCAAAGCTTCATTTTCGCCATTTCTATCTCAAGCAGTGATGGAGTCTAGGCAGCATAAGGTGCCACTGCCCTCTGCTGGTCTTGAGAACACACCTGCCTATCTGTGCACTGACCCTGCCCACCCCAGCAGAGGCACACACAGTGCCCTTTCTTATAGTACAACAAACACAGCAGGAAACCACAAAGAGAGGAGACAAATTATATTTGGAAAAATAATAGTATCTTAAGTATTTGGGAATGAATGATCTCTTACACCCGTAACAGAGGCCATAGTTATTCGTGATTGTTTTGCCAGCAGCAGTGTTCGCTTTATAGTCCCATCACCCTGTTATAACTCTTACCTAGTAAACAGGCCATGACTTTTAACCCTTTGGGACACCGTTGCTCTGTTTTGCACCCTTTTTCTGCCTTAGAGCATATACAGTCCCACTTTCATTCAAAAGATGTAGAAAGGGCTTTGCATATTAACTTTTAGTTTACAAATCAGCAGAAAGAGCATGTCAACTGAAATGTGCCAGGAAAAATGAATATTTAGTATCAATGAGAAGAATGCTCAGACTCCTGTAGAGTCCTGTCAAGTTGTAATAAGAGATTTATAATTGATAACATTTTTGGTATTGATTATCCTAAAAGTACTTTGTGAGAAACTGATAGGGATTTGTTAAGGGCTCTTTTTCTGAGCTCATCTGTGTTAATACACTTTCAGGACTCCAAAATCTTTATAGCTGCTATGAGTTACATCATTATGCATCTGTAAGAAATGGTACTGCCTCTGGCTACGCTCGCAGGAAAGGCAGTTGAGAATTATGTTTTTATCTTGTGTGAATTTTGTCTGTTTACAATCAATTTCAAAATAGGCCTGTGCACTAGTACTGAAGTAATTGTTATTCCTCAGAGTAAAGGACTAAGAAGTGAAGAGGAAAAAAAAAATGTATAAACCATGCCCCAAGTGTCTTTATGCAGAGTATAGCAGGAGCATATGATTAATAGTGGGTGTGGCTTCTGCATACACACCCTCACAAAACCATACATATGTTGTGCATGATTTCCCATAGATAGAAGCCATGTCTTAAATGAGCAGACCAGCATCATGAAGACCAGCAGTGATCCTTACTGCACTTCCCCTTGGAAAACTCCTTTTGGTTCTTGCTGGGGCCCAAGTTACCAATTCTACCTAGGAAGAATTGGCTTATAGCCAGTCACTTCAGCAGCTGCACATGGTCTCATTTTCAATGGTTCCTACACACAAAATGCAGTATACGGAGACTCTAGCAGCCACACCACCTCTAACTACACAAGTGCTGTATTTCATTGCACACTTAGTACCTATTTCAACCCTAGACCAAGAAGGAAACTGGCAGGTATTGAGCACATGATTTTTGCCAGGTACTTAACACATCTGCTGTGTCCCCAAGAAATTAGCCAATTTTTGTTGTCTAAATGTTATGTATAAATGTAACCTTGATAATAATTTTCAGCGTAACATTTCTTGAGAGTTTAACTTATTAAATTGCTTCAAAAGAATACTGATCAGAAATGTTAGTTCTACTCACAGAAAACAAATAAACTCAATTCCAAAGAATAAAATGGATAAAAATAATTATCTATTGAAAATGATACTTAATCTTTGCTGAAAAATGACAGATTACACATTTTTTGAATCATCTTTAATGTGAGGTAAAAGTAGTGGCTGTGGAAGGATGGCTCAAATAATTTACTAAAATTTGGCAATATAAGTTATCTATAAAATAAAAAATGCAATGTTAGGTAAGGTCTTATCAGAGGTTTCAAGGCAGAATATTACTTTGGTAAACAAAATTACAAAGCGGGGGGGGGGACAGACAGCAGTGCTAATTGGCATTTAATGTAATTTTATGATTTATTTTCAGTTCTTTTGAAAGATAATTTAATTAGTAAAAAAATATATATAATAACTGGGGCTTTGGAACCAAAGTTGGAGCTTGAAACCCAGCTCTGCCACTTACATAATTGTCATATGGCCTCGAGCAATCAAACATTCTGAATTACTTGTATCTTACAAGATTTTTAGTATTAAATTTTATGTGTTTTACATACATATATCCGTGTGTGTGTGTGTGTGTGTGTGTGTGTGTGTGTGTAAATAGTGTCTTCCAGATGACTGAAAGTTAGTTTTTCTTCCTTCAGTTGTTAATCACCTCTTAGGTTTACTCTTTCTCTGAAACCCAGCAGGAAGTCCTGGGAAGAAGGAGGTTTGGTTTGTGGTTACCTTCCCTTGCCCAGATTTGGTTATCATAAAATGCCCCTGAAGCCCAAGACAGTCTTCTAGGGAGTATGTGAGCCAGGCAGCTGCCTTGTGGGGAGGTGACAGGATAGCATAGCAGTGGGAAGGGCACAGTTCCTCCTGAATCCCAAATGCCTGCTATGCCCTCATTCTGGCTATGAGGCCAAGCTATAGACCTACTCACATTTCAGTTATGCCTTTCCAAAAATGTTCCCTAAAAGCAAGTAGATGATTTTTAAATTTTCTCAAGCTTAATGTTTAGGTTGTGAAGGATTTTCTTATATACCCTAATTATAATACTATTGGATTGTCAAAAATGTTATGACTTTTTTTTCCTATGGTTTTCTGCACAAAAATGCATCATGACTTTTCCGACAATTCAGTATCTACCAATTCTATAGTGCCTACTGTGCACGTGGTACCCTGCTAAGTATTTTTCATATATTCTCTAATTCATATTGCTGAAATACCCATTTTGATAAATAAAATGACTGAGTCTCTTCTATGATTTAACTATGTCCCCAGAAATTCGTAAGTTGGGAAATGATCATACTTCCTGTTTTGTAGAGGTATTAGGTGATACTTCATTTTTTTAGTGTCCCAGCATAAGGCCTAGGGGGTGGTGATTGGTTTATTTGAATGAATTGTGGGAGCAATAGTCTCATATAGACAAAGATGTCTCAGAAGACCCAGTGAGTTTTGAGTCTTGTGAGAAAAGGTTAGTTCTTATGAGAGCTGGTTGTTAGAAAAGAGAGGCCATTCAGGACCTCTCTCTATCTGCACAAGAGCTGGTTACAAAAAAGACCAGTCAGGACCTCATCTGCGTGTGCCCACCATTCTCTGTGCGTTTGTCAGTTATGCTACTAAACCCAGGACTGTGGACTTTCTAGCCACCAGAATTGTAAGTTTATAAATAAATTTCTGTCTTCTTTATATAAAAATCACATAGGGGGACCAGCAGTTAGCGTAATGGCTATGTTGCTGAACTCCCATGTAGTGACTGCAGTTTGCGTCTCGGACCCGGTGGCTTAAACTCACCCCGGGCGTGTGTGCATGCATGCCCAAGATCCTGAGAGGAGAATGGAGGAGAAGGGATTGCAGCGTGGCCATCCCCCCTGGGGGGTGATTTCTCGCTTTCTGTCTCTCTGTCTCTCTCTGTCTGGTGAGCGCACGTGCCCTATAGCAAAAACCTCTAAAAAAAAATCACATAGGCTCAGGTATTTTCTGTTAGCAGTGCAAAAACAATAAGACAAACCCTCAAGGATTTGATAGCAAACCCAAAGTCGTCATTTAAAAATGAGAAGTTGCTGATTGCTATGCCTGTACTGCCAAAGATATTCTTTAGACAAATCCTTTGATCACATCTATGGCTAACTGTGACCCCGATAACTTATTGAGCTGTCATAACTCTGCCAGTCCCATGGTGATGGATATTGTATGTGTTTTCACAGAAACTTGCCCCTGGAGTCAGCCAGTTTGCCTACACCTGTGTACAGGACCACCCCATTTGGACGAATCAGCAGTTTTGGGAAACAACCTTTTACAATGCAGTGCAGGAACAGGTTCGCTCCCTCTATCTGTCAGCCAAGGAAGACAATCATGCCTTACATCTGAAGCAGAAGGTGAGAAAAGAGAGATACCGGGGGCGGGGTGGGGGCGAGGGTACTGGGGGATGAGAGGTTGGATTCTGGCTTTAAGGAAGACTTATGCAAATATTCCCAGAGCAAAGAAAATCTAGCCACTTCCTGCCAGTGTATTTGGGGTTCATTTTAGGGAGTGCCATGGTGAGCATCTTTTTTCTGTTGATTTCTGATGTTATCTTTTCTGTAATAATTTCTGATTACAGCTATTTATTACTAAAATTATTATTGTATCTTAATAATTCCCTAGATACAATTATAGGAAGTTGAATAAAAAGAACAGCTTAAAATACCAAGCATAAGTCACTATGGCAACTAACATCCCTAAAGAATTGTCAAGAAGTGAGTTGACTCTAAAATGAGTGAAAATTTTTGTTAGTTCTGCTCAAAAATATGCCAGTAATAAAACTAGGTCTTCTCTTAGGAATATTCTGTTTTTGTGTATTTTATGAGTATAACATATTCTTAAGATGTCCAGAAAATATTTTTAAATCAAGAAAATTGTTATTAATTTGAAATAGTAGTTTAAAATACTCAAATTTAGAGCCAGGGTAGTGGTTAAGGCACTGGACTGACTCCCACGTGGCCAACCACAGTTTAAGTCCCAGATCTGGCATCTTGAAAATCGTGCCAGGTATGTGTGTGTGTGCACCCAAAATCCCAGGAGGAGAATGAAGGAGAAGGGATTGCAGCGTGGCCATCCCCACTAGGGGGTGATTTCTCACTTTCTGTCTTTCTGTCTCTCTCTGATGAGTGCACACACCCTACGGCAAAAACCTTTAAAAAAAAAAGCTCAGAAATTTTTAATTGTCTGATTTGGGGCAAGTCATGTTACTTCATTGTCTTATTTCTTCATTGGTAAAATGAACAGATATTAGTGTAAGATTTTAATGTCTAATACAGGAAAAGCACATTGAATAGTATTCTGGCACATAAAAATTAGTCAGTGTTATGGAACCAGCAGTTAGCGTAATGGCTTTGTCGCTGGACTCCCACGGAGTCGACCGTGGTTCGCGTCCCGGACCCGGTGGCTTAAAACTCACGCCGGGCGCGTGTGCGTGCATGCCCAAGATCCCAAGAGGAGAATGGAGGAGAAGGGATTGTGGCGTGACCATCCCCCCTGGGGGGTGATTTCTCGCTTTCTGTCTCTATGTCTCTCTCTGTCTGTCTG